ATCAAAATAAAGAAACAAATCTGCAAAATAAAACATTTCCTTTCTCTTATTCTCTGAAGCAAGAAGTATCTGCAGTGATGATACAAGAACCTGCAGAAAAAGATACGTTGATTAGATTAGATAAGCATAAACAGCAACAGAGATCAAACTTGAAACCAGCATGCATATCAGTTATGGAGAGCTATTTTTATCATCTTTGATTTATACTCAGTGATGAGACTCAATTATGAGAAGCAGAAATATCAATTAAGTAGGAGAAAAGTTTTATTAATGGGACAATAATGTTTTTCTTGCTGCTTGAGTTGTCCGTTTGTTTCTAGCCAGACTAAAGCATCCTTGAATTTTACAGAGAAATTAGGAGCTCTAAATTACTTTCCTCTGACAGTGAACTGACACACTGCTGAGTTCTCAGTGCTGTTTCTGCAAGGGGTCCATTAGTGTTCATTCACAACCTCTCCCCCCTTTGCCATCCTGGATCACTCCTCGCAGCGAATTTGCAACTCTCACCCCAGGGCATCTCACCCAGGTCTGCTGCCCCCGTACATGGGAACACCGAGCTGGAAACTCCACCAAGAAGTGCAGCCATAAATATATTCTAGCTATAAAGAATGCAGCATTGCAAGGTTTGGTTGGTTTTTTCTGTCTTTTTTTCCCAGTTTTACATCTTAGACAGCTTACGCTTCAACTCTCAAAACAGATTTTATCTTAATAAAGGCTTGTATTACTATTATTCACCTGTCATTACATGGCATTAGACAATTCAGTAGTATAGCCCAATTTTCAGAGTGAGGAACATTCCCATTTGCTTTCAAATGGGAATGGGAAGACAACACAAACAAAACATTTCATTAACATATAGAGATGCAGCTTTATTTATTAAAAAAAAAAAAATTGCCAAGACTGCCACCTACACCTAAGAAACTTTTCTATGAAAACTCACTGGCATGAGTAAAAAGAAAAAAAAATCTATGGGCATGAAACAGTCTTCAGTCACAGTTTGATTGCCAGGCGATTGACAAAATAATTTGTACCCGTCGATTTTCATGAAGGAAATTTTTACAATGGATTTGCCAAGCAGATTTTTAATTTTAATCAGTAATGAAAAAATGACAACATGGATCACAACAAGACATCAGCCGTTAAATGGGCTTTCGCGATTGCTGTCAGGACGACTCCATTAGACAGCCATACCTTTGTGGGCATCAATCACGCTCTTCAAACTCTTGTACATCTTCGAGATTTAATTAGACATTTAAGTTCTTTACTAGCAATTTGCAAAACTGTCACTTACTAAAAGTGCAAGACACCAAAAAAAATTTTTAAGAGCCGAGAGCGAGATTTCTTTTGAGCCCTGAGAGACGGTTTCTGTGATTCCTGGGAGCAGTTTGAAAGCCACCGGTTCCCTGGGCTGTGTGTGACCGATTGCTCCGCAGGCTGTGCGCTGCCGCAGGCGGAGCGGAGCGGAGCAGCGCCGGAGCGCTGTGCCCAGCCCGGGAGCGCTGTGCCCGCCCTGGGAGAGCTGTGCCCATGCGGGGAGCGCTGTGCCCGCCCTGGGAGAGCTGTGCCCATCCGGGGAGCGCTGTGCCCGCCCTGGGAGAGCTGTGCCCATGCGGGGAGCGCTGTGCCCAGCCCGGGAGCGCTGTGCCCGCCCTGGGAGAGCTGTGCCCATCCGGGGAGCGCTGTGCCCGGCCTGGGAGCGCTGTGCCCATCCGGGGAGCGCTGTGCCCGGCCGGGGAGAGCTGTGCCCATCCGGGGAGCGCTGTGCCCAGCCTGGGAGCGCTCTGCCCGGCCGGGGAGCGCTGTGCCCAGCGTGGGAGAGCTGTGCCCATCCGGGGAGCGCTGTGCCCGCCCTGGGAGAGCTGTGCCCGGCCTGGGAGCGCTGTGCCCATCCGGAGAGCGCTGTGCCCGGCCAAGGAGCGCTGTGCCTGGTCGAGGAGCGCGGTGCCCGGCCGGGGAGCCCTCCCCGGGCACGGCCGCTCAGTGCGAGCTGATCCTCTCCGTCCCCTGGCACTCAGGTGCGCCAGAAAACACTGCTCAGCTTTCCGGGAAACTGCTGTGTCCGGCTTGGAAAAAGCTAGAGAATGACGTTTTTCTGAGCAGTGTACAAAGTGAGCCCCTCGTGTCGTTCACAACCGAGATGTGCTCTGGGACGCCGAGCCCGCAAAGGGGGTACCTGCCCAGAGCGCAGGTCCTTGCCCAGACTTCGGTGCCTCGGGGGAAACTGCATTACTGGGACCGGCTTTTCTGTTTGCCAGGACATTTCTGAAACAGAAACGGAACTTCTACAGTGCCCTTTTAGTTTGTTAGTGTGGGATCTTTGTCCGCTTTTTGCCAAACAGGTCTTCCCAGATGTTGTGATGGGGGGTGATATTCTCCATGAGAAGTAAAAGCATCAGTTAAAAAAGTTTTAGGTTTTGTTAATTATCTCCTTCAGATTCCCAAAAGCAAAAGCTGTAGTCTCCTTTAAATGAGCTTTGGCATGCTACATAGCATTAGATCAATAAATATAAAAGGTGAATTGTGAAAATGCTGTTAGTCATCAGTAAAAAATTTGCCCTAGGCAAAGATGTACAGTATAGAGTTATTTTCAGGCTAAAGTTTTTTTAATGGGATTTTTTTTCCTCTTTGGTGGTGAAACAAGGGGGCAGGGAAGCTCAGTTTTCCTACAGATCTTCATCACAATGAGGGAGTGCATCAAACTTCAGCCATTTAGCACATAGAGCTTTTTATTAGTCACCGGTCTGAACTGATACAGGAACATTTTTGCATTTTGCAATTATGCCCTCACAAAGATTACCTGTTCTCACCTGCATAAACTCCTTGTTGCTTTACTGGGGGAGACAGATTACTCTATGTCTTATTATTCAGGCAAAATTAGCTCCTTGCATTCCCAGGCAACCACAATCATTGTCATGGCAATTTTCATGACTCTCCTGGGTAAATATAGTACCCGTTCACATCAGTGAGAGGGTGAGCTGTGGCAGGGTGACAAGATAGAGGCAGTCATATATTTAGGAGCATTAGGCTGGTGAATGAGGTGTCAGCCCTGCACAGAGGAGGGCAGCCTGGGCAGAGCCACTGCTGGCTGAGCTTCAACCTGGTCTTCATGTGCTGGGGCTGCAGAGAACAGCAAGGAATGCAGGCTTGTGTGAGGCTCTCTCTGACCCCCCAAGCTTCATGAAGCACTCCTGCATCTGCAGCATCCCTAGGAACATCAGCAGAGCATGGCAGCAGCAGAGGCAGGGTGACAGGCATCAGGAAAATCAAAGGAGACGTTTGAGCTCAGGGGGAGGAAGTCAGGGAGTTTCTCAAAGTGCTCAAGGGGACATGCCGCCCACACCAGTCATCCTGGCCAGAGGAGCAGCAAGCAAAGAGAGCAGGGAGGAGAAAAACAAGTCCTCTCTCCCTCAGAAAATTAATTGGAAAGAAGGTGCCAGGAGATTCTGCTTTGTGCTGCCTTACTTTGCAGCTGGCACAAACACATGCCTGGTCAGCAGGTACACATGGCAAATCAAGGAAAACCAAGAGTATGTTACCTGCAGTAACTTTGCAGTTTTGTGGTACCCATCAGTTCTTCATGGCACTACCATCAAATCCCTTCGATTAATCATTAGTACCTCAGCATTTCTGAGCTAGAGAGCCCAGGGGTGGCATTTGCATCATGGACCTGCATTTGCACTGACACACATTCAACCAGACCTACCACAGAAATTATCAGCAACATAGCAACAAAACACTGTAGCACTTTTCATCTTCCATGAGCTTCCAAACTTCATAGCTAATTAACCTTTACATTGCAGCTATGAGTCAGGTGTTTGGTAATAGTATCGATATAAATGACTTTTCAAACGAGATACTGAGACTAACAAGAGACATGGTGCCAGAGACCAGCGATCAAGTGCTAAACTCCAAAGTTTGACTCCATCTCACTACCAGTTTTTTAAACTACTTTATCTTAAGAAGATGCAGGCTCTGTAAATAAATATGTGCATGCATATGTGTACATATAAGGTCTTTTTCTCCCTCCTTTTGGATATACTTGCACAACACTGACATATGTATTGTAAAATGTAGTATTCTTCATAATAAAACTCTGCTTTCTTCAAAAGTCCTATTTAAGAGGCTTTTTCCATTTTGGAGAGACAGGGGCTGCAGGACTGAGAGGACAAGGAGTGGAAAGGAGCATGGCCACGCAGGTGGCATGAGCAGCCAGAGGACTGTTCTGCCCTGGGGCAGTGCACAGCAATGGCCCTGCTGCCCATCTGCAGTGACCTGTGCTGAAAGGACCCACGTGCCAGTGAATCAAGAATTATCTCCCAGCAGCAGCACTGGGATAATTAAACCACCCTAAGCCCTAATGCCTTCCAGCACTGCTACTTCAGGAGTGTGCTTGCTCCTCTCCCAACACACTGCAGGCCTCTGCACAGTATTTTTCTGACTAATAAACCTAATGATGGAAAAGACCAATGAGGTCACCTAGTCCATCCTTCCCCTTGGCAGTACTTTCAATTTCCTTATTCAAGTGCTGCTTAAAAAAGGCTTCCACTGACTCCATGGGTGGTTCACCTCTGTAAGGCATAGACAAAGTCCATGGAATTTGGCAGTAAAGCACATTGATAAGAGGATGCAGACAGCAAAGCCTTTCTCTTTGATGCCAGGCCAACAGGTTTCAGTGCAGAGGCCCCAGGAACACACCATGAATCAACCATTTATCACTGGCCAGAGGCTTTGGAGAAGGGTTCCCAGCTGCCACAAGCATCCTGCTCCTGGCCCCACCGTCAGCCCCATGAGCCACTCAGGCAGTGAGCTGAGAGCCAGGGCAGCCTCCCCATTCTCCCAAACTGATGAGCTGCCCAAGGCCTCATCTTCCAGCCTGCAGAATTCACCAGCAGTTTACACTTTTGGCTCTTCAGAACTGTGCATTCTGTCTTACCCTGCAGCATGAGTCAGAAGTCTCTTTCAATGCCCCATATGAATTTATAGATTCTCCTCTACTTACATCCTGTCCTTCCGGCTTTGGGCACCTCAACATTCCCCATGTTTTAATGTTCTACTGCTGATTAGTTCAGCCAGCAATGAGGGAGACCTGAAGGAAGAAAAGAGAATAGCCTTTGCCAATGATGCCCTTAAAACTTCACAATGCCACATATAATCAAACTAAGAATCACTAATATCATTATACAAAAATGTTTGTGGTTTTCCTAATGGAAAGAAGAGTAAGTTAACCTAGGGCCTAGAATAAAAGCTTGGTTTGTAAATTTCTCTCCCGGTTAGATATTTTTTAGTTTATTGAAAGAAATTAGCTTGATCCAAAAGTAAGCCACCGAAATAAAAAAAATTGTCAATCTGATAAAGATATTTTTGAGATCGTTTTTCACAGTATCTGACACAAAACTTATTGAAGATAACAGATTTTTTTTCCTGGTTTGGATGGACTTCATTCATGCAACTCTTATCTCCTTGAAACAGTTAAGACTGATATTTATACTGTTTTTACACTAATTTTTTTATCTTCTAAAGTCAGGTTTGTAACTGATAATTTAGTAACATTCTAGCCGTTTCCATGCATTTTTTCCATTTACTTTACTAATGCTACAAAAATCTCATCCTTGGACTCTCTTTTTATAAATGTACATTAGCAGATGAGTTTTATACTTCTGAGTAATGAATGTAAACTTAATATTAAAAATATAAAAGGATTATATGTAGGCCAATGTTTAGCCTTCACCAGATCAAGGAAAACTAAATTCAATAGATCTAAAATTTGCAGTTTGACATAGAGCCACACTGGAGATTGTGGTTTGTGACTTCCATACATGAAGTGGGTGAAGGTGGCTCTAAATACATTATTTTCTCAGCATGTCTACAGATTAGACCTATTTCAGTGAAAGTCATGAGCACATGAATGTTACTCCCATGTAAATTGTTCCAAGACAAATCTTGCTTCATTTTGGATATTGGTGATAAATCAAAGCTCAGCAGAGATGAGCTGAAATTTTATATTGAATGTATTGACATATTTGGTTTTGTAGACTAATTCAGCCTGTGAGAGAATGAGCAATAGTCACCCAACAGAATCCCACATCTCTAGATTAAAGATACTTTTGCAGTCAGTTAAGGCTCTCTGATTACGACCAGCTAATTTCTAATGAGGTTGGGCTGTAATTTGCAGGTTTGCCTCAAGTCCAACTTCCTCCATCCTCAAAGCCAAGTGTTACATCAAATAAACCTCAAAATTCCCACTTAATTTTGACTTCCACTTAACTCCTTGACTATCTGCCACTGCTCACGCCCATTCCCACAGCTATTATTTATACAAACACACAGACATACTTGCACTTCAGTAGTAGCATAAGGATCTTGTACTGAAAAGGGTCTTTTTTTGATGTAGAGAAAGGCTGCAGCAGAATTCATCCTCTCCCACAGGCTCTCCTGAAGTTTCCATTTCTGTTAACCTAAAGCCAGAAGAAAAAAAGTAAAATCATAACTTTGAAAAGGAATCCTTGAAGACTTTGCTAGAATTGCTAAAAATCCACAGCTTTATGTTCAGGAAAACTCACATTATTAGGTTTCCTGAAGCCTCTGACAGTACCAGCAAAATATAGGTCCAGGTCCTTGGCAGATGTTGAACAGCAGGGTTATGCTGCTTTTCTAAGCCTCATCTGGCCCATTATGATTTCTATGCAACTTTTTTTACATGTAAGTAGCATTCATATCCAGGAGCATTCGGCATGTTTTCTTTTCTATATTCTTTTTCTCTGGTTATCTGACTCGCTACCAAAACAAATAAACTAAAATAACCCTACACACATGTCTATTGTATCGCATCCACAAAGGATTCTGTTATTACATATGCAGAAGCGGAACTTCTAGAAAATAAAACACGAAACAGTTTGAGTCTCTAAGGCCAATTACAACTACTCTGATTTAAAAGGATTATAGAGAAGCAGGCTCTGTGCAATAATTTCCAGTCTAATTACAATTTACAAAGAATCTTCATTGTTGTCAAAAATATTTAATGTGCCTTGGCATTTAGCAAATAATCTAATTCGTTGTTGTTTTTTTTTTTTTTTGGTCACACAACATGATCGCACACAATTCTCCAAGCTGTTTACAGTGAGCAAAATTATCCTTGCAGCTAGATGGCTAGATCCTTCTGAATTGGTAATCAAACATGATTGTGATTGCACTGAATTTTTAGTACTGTCACAAGTGTATACTTACTAATCTCAATGAGAATAGCTGCAAAACCCTAAGCTTTATGAATAAAATTCACCATAAGAGCGAGAGAGAGAGAATGACCAGTCTTTAGTAGGATTATTTGCTGTCTAATAGAGGTCAGAACCCCAATACAGTTTAACAATATAACAGGCATACACCTAAATGGATATGTCAGTTTTTACAGTATTAAATTATTTAGCAGTAATTACCCCAGCATGTGGATACTATAAATGTAGGTCTTATAAGTGTGAGAAAATAGTCTGCTTTGTTCATTCAAATTGATGGTTTGGAGGCCAGCTATAAAAGTACCAATGGTTGCCAGCATTCTATGTAGTGTGCAAGGAAGTGGATAGAGATTTTCCCAGATGAAGGAAATTTTAAAATAAAGCCAATTGCAAAGGTATACAAAAAATAGGAAGTGGGGAGCTCTGTCTATTCATGGAACTGGAAAAGTGCAACTGAAGCACCACAATGGGATTGAAGAGACATTCTTCTTGTCAGCCAGAGACTCCTAATTTTGGCTCCAGAACAGCCCATGCTGAGCAACAATCCATTCAATATTGGCTTTTCTGCTGAATTTTCCAATACAGACGAGAGTTATAAAAACGAGTTTTAGAGGTGATCGGTTTGAAGGGCTTGTAGAAAATAAAAATGCCATCTACTGTTATGTAATATTCAACCTTGATTCAAAGACTAGCAAAGAAAAGCTCCATTGTCCAGATGCCAGCAACTAAGCCATCCATATTTCAAAAAATATGTATGATGCAAGATTTGTATTTGCAGCAAAGTCCTTTGGATTCTGCAGCAAACTCTAAGAGATACAGCAGCTTCCTTTAGTATCTTCATTCAGACATTTTAATTAATTAAATATTAGTCTGAATTACACAGTTATTAAAGAGGCATCTGCCTTGTTTACTTTGACACCAGAGCTTCACCTTGAAGAATATGGGATGTACTTTGTCTTAACAAGATAAGCATTTGATGAGTTCTTTCTCTTAAAAAGACAAACAGTGATATAATGTGAATTCAGCTGATTCAACAAGATCCTGTATATAGTGATGGTATTTCAACATTCATCTCTACTAACAGCAGAGCTAACAGCATTTAGGAAGAATTTCAAAATTCACATTGCTCAGCAATTATTCCAGGTTGTCATCAGATTTAGGAAAACAGCACTACATAATTGTATACTCAACATAATGTTCACTAGCATGAAGTAGTCTGGTTATACTGTGTGATAAATTCCAGGTGTGTGAGTTAGAATTTCTGTCTTTTGAAAAATTGAGGGAAAAGTAGCTATATTCTTTATTCAACTCCCCATAGGCAAATGGGTGAAATTAGATATTTCACAGCAGACTCAGAAATAGAAAACCTCAGTTCAGTAGTTTTGTTGTATTAGAGAAACTCTTATCTGACTCAGTATCGTGATAATTGCATATAGCACAAAACTTCTGCATGCCAATTGTGTTGTGGATTCAAAATCATGCCAAAGAATGCTATAATCCACACAGATCCACTCAGTGGATGGTGGTGAGGTACATTTACCCGTTGTTTTTAAAAAATGATAAACACAAAATGGATAGCAGGCATTTTACTGTTATAACAATTTGGCATCTTCTGAGCAAATGTATTTGCTTACTACCTATACCTCTTCAAGCTGTCAAGTAATTAGACAATCACTGCCCTGTCCTCATATTACAAAGTTGATTAAAGTGGCAGAGGCCAGATGCCCAGATCACTCACAGATTCTTTAATTAGAGGGTCTCCTGAACCTCCAAACCACTTGAATGAAAAAAAAAGAGCAATTAACACTTTTTCAGGGCTTCCTTCGTCCATCTGTCACTGCACAGGTGAAAAAAAATAAAAGAGAAGAAAGAAAATATGATAATGGATCCTTTCTCCAGAAAACACTGGACTCTGGGTATGCTCCTCCAGACAGTCCATCAAAAACATCCCTCCCTTCCCCTGCCGAAGATGAAAAGCCTCTAGGTTTTCAAATATGCTAAATGCACAGAACATCATCTAAGAGAGAAAAATCATGTGGAAGCTACACAGACGGGCACAACATGTCTTTAATCACCCCTGTTTCCATCAGGCAAGAAAGCCTCACAAAGCTTGGTTGGTCAGATGCAAGGGCTTGACATGTGAGGGCATCCACTTCCCACCCCCGTGCTGCCCCCCCAGCCATCCACGGTATCAAATGAGATCTGTTATCAGCCTTAGTTAGATCATAATGAAATAATTGAAGGACTCAGCTGAGGGTGACTGCAGTGTAGTGAGGTGAATTAATTTTCCCACCACAGCAGGGCATGTCAGATCTGGCCACGAGCAGGTCAAGCCATTATTTTTTGTGGGTGTGTGAAAGTGATTGACTGGATTTCTGCACTTCGGGAGCGTTTGTGGAAGAAAAACAAAGGTGCACCTCAGCCTTTAAATGGCAGGCACAAAGGAAAGTAAAACAGTTCCTAAATTAACACAGAAAGAACCTTTTTATTCAAGATTTAAAAGAAACTTCATGCAACTTCAGAAATTTCATCCAGTATCTGTAAAACAGGCATTTCAATCCACTCCAGGGAAGATATATATATATTTTTTAAGGGTTATAATAAGTTTATGGCTAAAATGTTAGCAATATGCAACTTCTAATGATCAATATCACAGCTCCCACTCCCGTAAATGGGGCCTCTGCACTGAAGATAAAACATTCAGTGTGACTCAGAGAGGTATTTTGGATCCAAGTGCTTTGAAACATTGTACTGAAGGCCAGACAGCACATTATGTGCTCAGTAAAGCTAACCAAATGTCTGTCATTTTTCCCCAGCTATTTAGGCTTACGGACAATTGTGATTTTCAAAATTTCCTGTGTTGTCATAGGCTAAAACAGAATTGCTGCTTTTGTGAATTTTGCTGAAAGCAAACAGCTTTATATTTTAAAAGAGCTACTCATTTTAATCAGAATTCACGTAAAACCTAGAAAGGCAAGCTACCTTGCAGTCCTGATTCTTCTCTTAAGAACATACCTGAAAGTAAAATAAAATCTCCATGTTTTTCTCTGTATTTCCATTTCAAATTTTTACATGGTGTTAGCTCAGTGTTTACATTCACCAGCAATAAAAAAGTGAGGCTCTACTACAGTACTATATTATTTGGTAAATATTTTTAGTGGGTTTGTTTTATTTTTTAAAGTCAGTAGTACTGAAAGGAAAAAACAGCCTGAGTTGTACATTGTGTTGCATAATTTTTCCAAGAATGGCGTTGTGAAGAAATCATCTCACTGAAGCCATCCTTGGAATCTGCTTCGACTCACAGAAATCCCCTGTCAATTTCCATTGTGGCCATGAAGAAGAAACACAATGTCTTGCCTCAAGAAATGGAAAATACTTATTGAAAAAGTTCATCAGTTCCTGCAAACTCCTAGTGATGATTCAAAAGATGAGTAGTTGGAGTCCAGAGGAATCTTATGCAGGAATTAAATTAGGTAATTGAATAGTAAAACAGTATTTTAATGTAAAACACTCAAGGAGGAAGTGACTACTGAAAACCAGGATTCAGAAGATAACTGCACTGCAAATCATTTGTTTTCCTCTCATTTTCTTCTTGAATCTAGAGCTAATCAGGAATAGGGTATTAGTTACCTCTTGTGTTTGGATTGAGGGGAGAGGAACATTTTAAGAGGTGACTTTGCTAATTCCTTTCTGTTTAATTTTTTTCCATAGCATTTTGATAAGAAGATGAAGGAAGGGAGAAATACTCAGATTTCTCTTCTAAAAGATAAATGAGATGAGAAAAAAAACTCTGCAAACATCTATATAAACCCCAAGCTGTGCTTTCTTAATTACAGAAGAGGCTGAAACATCCCTAAAATACCCCTAGCAATTATTCACCTATCTTTCTTTTTAGCAACTTTCCAGGTCCATTCACATCAGGGGTTCCAGTGTAACCTCCTGACAAGCTGAGTGAGAACAAAGTGATTACTTAGCATCAAGAGAATACAAAACCTAATACTACAGTACCTCAGCTGGGAAAAAAAAATTACATTCTTCATGAGATACTCATACTAGCTTATACCAATATCTGTACTGCAGCAGGAGGCCCCAAAAACTCTTCAAAGAAAAGAAAGGTGTTGCCACATTTTTACTCCTAGGCATGAAATCTTCATCACTAGAGACAGCATATATTAACAGCTCATGAGAATTTTATGTCAAACCACTTTTAGGAAGTATTCTTTCTCTGTAGTGTCTTTATTTTCTCATTGTTTTATGTATATTTATCTACATATTCATGGGTAGTGTGCATGCATATATGTATTTCTCTCCTATGTCTCCTTGCTGATGAGCCTATTGCTCTCTCTCATTAAGCCCTGAGCTATTACTCCCAGTCCCTCAAACACAGGAACCTCTCTGCTGCTGAGCACAGTTTGGGGACAGAAGAAACCATCAAACTCTAGCTCCAGCACTGATAGGACTCCATGGAAGATTTTGTGGACAGCTATGGTAGCCAAGGGACAGGAAGGGAAGGTAAGGATGCAGCCTTTTCTTGAATGGGGAGGAATGAAAAGAACCCCAGCTCACATTAAAGTATTTTCTGGGCCTCATGCATCAAAATTTCAGAAGAAGCAGAAAGTGGCCTTTTATTTGTTCATTGTCCTGTCTCAAATATGTGTTTCAAGCTATGTTCCTCTGCTCTGTTTCTTGCTGCCTTCTGTCCGTGCTGCCCATGAGATGGAAACCTCCTCTACCTCTGCAATCTGCTGACAAAGCACAATACAAAAAAGCTGTTCTCCAGGGTACACACCTGTGCTTATCACACCACCTTTTCCCCCTCCCTCCTCCCTCCCACTGCCATCCTCTGATGTCTCATACACAGAATTTTGTTGGCCTGAGACTGTAAGCCCCTCCAGGCAGAGACCTTGTCTTTTTTGTGTGTTTGTAAGGTGCTGCTTCTCTCCCTGGAGTTCAGTCCTTCATGGCTCTTCCGTTTCTTTAGCAATGCAGAGCTTTACTCCCTCTCTGACACAAAATCCTACTTCAAAAATGCATTTAAACTGTTGTGGGTCTTGAATCTCCAGTAGCAGCAAGGCAGAGTGTTCTATAAATGGCATGAGAGCTGATTGGTAATACCATGTGTTAATTGGCAATATCTGCCTTCAGCAGGCTCCGCAATGTGTTATATCATATTGACTGGTTACATACCCATGATAGTAGGTATTAACTGTTTGCAGGATAAATGTGTGCTCCTTTGAGGGAAGCATGTGAATTTAGTAGTTTTGTTTAATTAGCCTTTATGGCCTGTCAAAAGCTGGAAAGTGAAGAGACATCCATCGAATGTGACATGCTGTCAAAACCAGGCAAAGCAAGTATTGTCTCCCCCACTGTATAGTTCCTTCAGAAACATCCCCTTGAGATAATCATCTTAGCAGTATCAAACTCTTGGCAACCCTGACCTGATCCAGAGCTCACAAAAGGCAAAAGGAATCTTCCCTAGACTTCATTGGTTTTCAAGTGCATCACTCTTGCTCCTTTGGACTTAGGAGTTAGACAGGACCCAGCTCCCTCAGAACTGCCCCAGCTGAGTAATGAGTGACACAGTTCAACAGTATTCTCTAAGCTGTGGGGGGTTTTGTTTGTTTGTTTGTTTGTTTGTTGCCAAGCCAGAAGGGTCTTTCCCCGGTCATGGAGTCATTCCGTACCCATATTCTGTATCCAAAATCCATCATCCAGCACCACTTTTCTTTGCACTCCAGACCCTTGGTACTGCTCCTGCCACCCCAGCCCCACTCACTGCTGCTCCCATGGGCTTGGAATGGCTTTGCTCAGCAACTGCAAACCCAATATCCCATTCCTTGTGTGCTACCAAGGAAATCCCCCTGCCTACATGCTCAGGTCTGACCTGACATGTGCCGTCTGAAATCCCTCCATTGTCTCTTCTGTTTAAAGAGGCTCAGTTGGTTTTTCTTCAGAACTGGTAAACCCACTGATTTTAATGAGATCTATTATTATCTTTGGATCAAAGGCTCACTTGATGACAGCTATTTGCACCTTTCACCATAATAGTAATTTAAAGGTGACCACAGGCATCTTCTGTTTACTCCTCAACAGTACCTTATCTTTTTTCCTCCCAGATTGGAGAGGTCTGTGGGCACATACTTGACCAAGAATGAACTTGGTGTGTGTCTTCACTGTCAACAAAGGTGTAGGAGGGGAAAAGGGAATCTCAGTGTTATAATCCACACTATTTCCTGACAAATTCAGATGGAATAAATGCTTTCATTTTCATCCTTTTGTAGGCATCACTGTAATATTTTCACTTACACAGCTGACTTCACCTAGATGGCATCCAATAAAAACTAGACCATCCAGTTGACCACAATGGTATAGGGATATATCTCTCACATACTTTTTACCTTGCCTAAGCCCCTGTTACTGGGAGGAATTACTGGTTTCACTGGGCCAGTCTATTCCACTTTAGGAAAGCCAACTTCATCCTTTCTTCTCTCATTCCATATACACTCCTTGTGCAGTTGTTTTAACCTGTGGATTTATGAGAAAATAAAACTTTATTCTAACAGCCAAAGTCTTCATTTGGGCTATTTCTGAGATAAAAGATGGGCCACAAACCTAGTCATTTTAATAAACAGCCAAATTTTACTTTACACAGGACTGAGATGATAATCTGTTGATTACATCTGAGAGGGATATTTAATTTATAATAGTAGTATCACAGACTAGATTTTCCAGGCTGTCCAGTTGATGCACAGGAGGATGCCAGGTCTCTGGCATGTCATTTTTCAGAACGGGTTCCTGATAAGAAGTGCTGTATGTTAAAAGCCATTAAACATAGTAACACCTTCTTCTATCTTCTAATATCTACTAAGCCAGGTGCAGAGGCACATGACTGAACCTAACATACTTAGCAAAGTATTAACATTGCATATTGCCATCATTTATTATAGAACTACAAAAGACAAAATAAGGAAAATGAAACATTTGCAAGTCTCTAAGAGCAATGGTTTCATTCGGTCTGTTTGCATGACCTATAAAGAAATTCCACGTAACTATTCTTGTCAATCATGTTGAAATAGCTCAGCCCTGCCCTTTCTGTGTCACTCTTCCTTTTCTCCATTGTGCTCACAATCACTGCTGCCACCCTATTAAAGCAAAACATTCAACCACAAATTGTTAATTTCTGCAGTTATACACACACTCTTTTTTATTTCATAAAACTACCGTGTATCTCGTTTATTTTTTATAATCGGTTCCAATTAAATATCACTAATTCAGTCTTAACATCTCATTTTTTACTTAACTTCAAAGGCAGTGAAGCAACTTATACACAAAATTAATTATGTCTATTATCATTCAAAGAAATCCACTTAATTCTGTCAAGCCTGGCAAATGATATAAAAATGTTGGTTTGATAATATTAACATCAACAACTTAAACTGTATTTAAACCGGGAAGGAAGAAAATAGAAATAATTAATTGCTCATCACAAATCTGCCCAATATGGAATGCCATGTGCTTCTGCTTGTCTAATAAATTAGTTTGCTTTCTCTGCACTATTTTTTGTGAGGTATGTAAGTAGTTAAAGGAGCATTTTGAGAAATGAACAATCAGGTTAACGAGGAAAGTGACTAAAAGTTAATTTAACCAAAGCCAAAATACTGAAGAAGATATAGAAGGTTTGAAATGTTGCCCTATGTGAGCAGCACTAGAAAGTGTTCACCTTTTCCCTGCTATTCTTCTGTTTGTATCCTTGTCCCTGATGTGAGAAAACTTAAGATGAAAACAAAACAAAGAAGAGGAGCTGGGACAATCACATTGATTTATGTGTTAAAATCTGTGAAGGGAAGGACGAAAAGCAGGCAATCTCCGCTTTCCAGTGTTACAGACACTGTGATAAGTTTCCTACGGCTCTGCATGGGCAGCAGGTATGTCTGAGCAGACTGGTCCCTTTACATGACACCAGCATCAAAGTGGAGGGGAGCAACTCTCAGCAGCCAGCATTCCTGCTTCCTCCAACCCACCCAGAGCCCTGGCAGCCAAAGGGTGCCACAGATGTCTGCACGGGTGGGTGTCACAGCAATCTAAACAGACAGACCAGAAATGAATTTCACCACCGGAGATTAGCCAGCAAATTAAACTCAATCTCCCTGTCGGAAAAGCACAGCAATGGAAAGTGCCTTCACCCTGCTCCTGAGAGCTGCTCCTGCCCACAGTGCCTGTCCAACACCAGCTTCCTCAGCCCCAGTGAACCCAGAGACAGGAGATGTCAGATGTTGGGGTCGAGCAGAAGCCAGGAGGAGAGGAGGCACTGACAGTGTAGCCCCTAGAGAAGTGATGAAAACTCACTGAAAGGCATGGTCTGCAAAAGCCTCCCACAGAACAGAGAGTCAGATCCACCACAAGTGAAGTTCATTACTCTGTTTACCCAGAGGGAGCAATATTGACTTATATAAAGAGATGGTCCAAAGTCCCACATTTATTCCCAGGGCACAGTCTCACTTTGGTGTTTATACTGCCCCTAAAATAAGCACTTCACGGTAAGTGTTTGCAGAGTGAGGTACTACTTACCTATTTTCTGACACCAGAAAATTCCCCTCTTGATTTGCCAGTCCACCTTCTCACACATTTTTCTCACTTCATTTCTTAGGCCATGTTAGCCAGGTGCATACCATGACCAGAGCTGGCTTCCAGGGGGATCTTTCTAAGTAAAACTGCAGTTTTGAAAGAACCAAAAAAACACATCAGAGTGAAGAGTGGAGGTTTCAAAGCTGGGTATGTAAATGAACATACAAACCACTGTAAATTATTTAAATACTCTGGCTAGAAGTACTGAGTGTAAGGAAGCCCAAGCACAGAAACCTCCAGGTCAGCTGTGGCCCCACAAACAGGCCAGGGTGTCTTGGAGCCCCAAAACCTGCTGCCTCAGAGGTGTGCCTGGCACTGGTAGCTGTAGGGTACCGTGGGGCCACATAAAGATCCCACCACCAGCAGGGATGAAGTCCAGGACCACCCCTGCACAGACAGCCCAAAAGGTGGACAGTAGAGAGGGAGCAATGAGGAGCCAGGCTGGTTTTGATGGAAATCTGCTTCCCTGTCCAGTTTTGAAATCATTTGGAAGATGTGTTAGAACAGGCCTGTTCTTTTGAAATGACTGGGTGCCAGAAAATAAGTGTGTTTTTAACAGAATAAATGTTTCAGCACAAAAGCTTTGACCAGATTCACAGAGGAGCACAGTCTGCTAAACGTCTTCCTCAGCAGTCATCTATAGCATATGAGAGTCTGCTTTAGCCAGAAGAATAAAAGCCCAGTTTCTTGACTTATGATGCCTCAGCTCACACCTTGTACTATTATAGGTCAGCTTCCAGCATTTAGCCAAGATAACAACCTGTACAAGACCTCTGCTGATCTCAGAAATCCATCTATAAGCCTGATCCAAAGTTGAGAGAAGACGGCAGGAGATTTTCCATAAGCCTCAGTATACAGAAAGACCTTAATGAAGAGCGTGGATGTTCCCAGACAGTTTTCACACATTCATGACTGCTTTTCCACCCACTGAAAGGACTGATTTTATCTTGTAATTCTTGAGTCCAACCATGACATGTACTGATTGGAAAATCTCAATGCATGAAAGAGGAACATCTGCTAAACAGGGATACAGGATTCTGTCCTGATTCAATCCCTTCATATATTTCAGCATTGAAAAGAGGATACCGTGCCTCCATTGATTGCCAATACTGGATTCTCAAAGGAAAGGAATATTTTATACTGACATAAAACTCCCAGAGGCATTTCCTAATGCCAAACTCGCTTCCTTCCCTGCAAGGCAGAGAAGGAAGGAGACGTCTTGGAGGGTGTTTGAGGATATCATCTCCATTTTGTCCCTAAACCTCAGTGGCAAAGATTCCCTTAGCAGCTGTTTCAAATCACAGCAACAAAGCAACATCTAACTCACACAGGGAAAGGGCAGCCAGTAAATTCAAGAGTTAGCCTCCTACCAAGTGGATCCTGGAGTAGAAAAGAAATCCGTTTTCTGCATCCAGCATCCCTCTACAAGCTTCTACCTTCAGCAAGGAGAGCAAAACTTAGCAAAAATCACCTAGACATGGATAATTTAATAAACATTTGGAGGATGAGAGATTTAAGCTCTTGAACCAGCAGTGAAAGCAAGCTTGAAGTCAAAGCCTTTCTCCTTGGCAAATGCCCAACAAGTAGCTATTCCTGATTTGCACACACAAAGTGTGTTTATATCTTTCATGCAAATTCCTATGCAAAAGAGGGGCTTCAGAGCAAAAATTACCCCTCGCCCCTGTTCCCCATCATCCCTGCTGGAGAGCACGCAGTATGCTTGAGAGATCTTGTCCAGACCCACTGGGAGGCTTTGACAAAAACCCTTTGCTAGCACACGGTCCTAAGTGGTATCAAAAATAGTAATTCAGCCATCTCTAAGCAAACAAAACAGAGACTGTAAGAGACAAGAGCCTGCCAAATCTGAAGTGATGCATGTAACATTTTTCTTTCAGGAAGAAGGGATGTTTTCCCTTTCATCTGTTTTCTGTTTGTTCATTTGGTTTCATTCATTTACAAGAGTCTCCTTTTAACCAAAGGGGGAAAAGTTGATGTTTGTTTACATCCTCTCTGCATAATAAGGCCCTGGCCCTCAAAAACATATGTATAGTCCCACTTAAATCAATGGGATTACTTGCCTGAGAAAAGTTAAATAAGTAGGAAAGTCCTTGAAGGAGCAGGGCATAAAATACCTACCTACTGAGATAATATAATTACCTCTTATAACAACCCAAATAATCAGATTCAGCAGTTGTCACCCTTTTCCCTCATTTAATCTTTTAAGCTGTATCCTGTTTTGTTGCTAAATCAACACAAAGTTATCAGTGAAGTTAAGGAGGCAGCACCCAGTCTGACTTCCACACTGCCCGACATGCAGCCCTTTGTTATAATCATCATAACAATATTAAATAAAAGATAAAGACCGCTGTCAAAAAGTTAATCATCAAAAGCTGGAAATCACATAGTGAATCTGTCAGTCGTTTGAACTGGACAGGGTCATGAAAATTAAAGGGAAAGAATGCACAGTCCACAGATGATGCTTACATGCTAATAAAAACCAGCCAGGCAAAAACATATATGCACAAGGCTGAGCAATTTGTCACCGTGGGCTATCATGGCTGTTCCCCTGCTTATTGTAACAATGCCAGCATTCAAAATAGTCAGAAAGGAGCTTACAGGAGCTGAATGCCAGCACATGTGTTTTTCCAGCTGGAGCCGAGTCCTGGACCAGCTTCTGAATTCTAGTTTAAGTTTCTTACTCTCTCCCTCAAACAGGAAAAACACATAATGCAAAGACTGAAAGCCCTAAAATAAAAATGCTGAAGAGAAACTAATGCTGGAAAGAGTCCTAAAAACATAGCTGCGAATTTGGAAGTGTTAACCACCCCCTTGCAGCACACATACCTTCCTCTCCACAGAGCC